AATCCTATTGCTACACTGATTTCCATTTCACCTTCAATTATCAACCATTAAATATAACTGATAATTTATTTTCTTCCTTCATTAGTTTCGTCACCATTAATGAAATCACGGAGATGAATGACTGAGCCTAACTCACTGTTTGACTGGTGTAGGTAGTATGCTGCTTGCATTTCACTATTCTCCCCCCCTAACCTTTTTCCCCTTTTTTGAAGAAAATCTGATCATGTTATGTGTACATTTGAATCAGTTTTCATTAGAACTTCTACTATGATTCGTTATTCACGTATGACTGTGCCTCAGCTATTGTCAGATGTTTTGTAGTGAGGATACCCATTTTGATGACGAGGACTTACCACTAGCTGATTATCTATTGATGAAATAAAATAAGTGAATTTTATCTGGCTGCATTTGTTGTTATCTCTCTATTCACCTAAAAGCCTCAGGCTTTAAGGCTAGCCCCCTTTTGGACATTCAGCCGCCGGCATGAAATCTGACAACGCTGACACAATATCTTTTAAATTCGGTACAATGGCCAGATAATAGCGTACTCACATGATAAACTGAAGTTCCTAGGTTCGACCTGTGGTGGGATGAGGGACTCACTCTACGAAAGAATTAAAACTAGGGTGAAACAGTTATCTAGTGATGTTTTGTTCCGAAATCTTCACTGAAATCACACATATTTCCACAAAATCAACACATGGGGATTTCTTAGGTTTGTTATCTGAAGTCTGAGAGATAGCCTCCAGAAATAAAGTTGAAAAACACCCTTCTATGGTGTTTATCAATTTATAGAAGTTCTAATTTCTTCTTTTTTTTGTTGTTTAACTCTTCCGGCATAAAGCCAAATGGTTCCACTGCAGAGCAGATATAAACAGCATTCATGAAGAGTAGAAAATCTGCTTCAGGTTTAAGATCCAAATCAAAACAGAGTCACTTAGATATTTATTTACACAGAACAACTTTAATTCATCAAAGTAAAACATTTCAAACAATAGATAATTGAAAGTTCAAAATCCGCCTCAACAATGAAATATAAGTGAAAATTGAACCACTCTAAAGGTCATTTTATGTGTGTGTTCTTGTCCTTATTAAAAACAGACAACAACTATTCAGAAACCAGTTTCACTTAACATTTCCCCTCTCTCTCTCTCTCTGTTTCTGTCAATAGCACAGAAAAAGTCACACACACACACATACACATAGGAATGAAAATCGAAAATATTCAGTAAGCGTGAGAAAGGATGATAACACAATGAATTCTATGAATCTACTCAATGACGTCATCACATCACAACTACCAGTCACTGGAATTTGTTTATAGGAATTATAATGAAATACATTGCAAAATCTAAATCTAAATTTGTATTAACTAAAGTTGGAGGCTGGCTGGGCTGCACATGCACAGCTAGTTTGACTGGACACTAGTAACCAGTGTGATGTGTCTAATCCTTTCTTCGGTGCAGACTGAATTCTTTCAGTCAGATTTGCCAAATGGTCACCAATCTAGGTAGCTCGCCATCACAGTGCACATTAATTTGATGATATTAAATGGTTGGAGACAATCGGTAGGAAGCGTTAGACCTAGGTTTCGTGCTAGTTGGCACTCACCAGTCAGTCAGCAAGGCGTATCTGCAACCTTGAAGGAACTCATGTCCCTTCTGGGATTCGAACCCGCGTCATCCAGTGCTGTAGTCAGGTACGTTACTACTGAGCTATTTTGGCTCGCCATTAACCTCCTGTAGGACATGAGTTTCTTCAAGGCTGCAGATACGCCTTGCTGACTGGTGAGTGCCAACTAGCACGAAACCTCCGTCCAAGGCTTCCTGCCGATCGCCTCCATCCATCTAATAATATGCACAATTATCATACATTCCTGACTATCGGCGCATACTATAGCTGTACTAGGGTGCACCAGAGCTAACCTTAATCTGTGTAAAAATGTATACATATCAGGGATTGGTAGATATATGATTATGCAATCAATATGCATCAGAAGTGCTTACGTCATTTTCTCCTTCACACTGACTTCAACTTTCGAAGCATATGGTTTCAATTTAATTTAAACAAATAAAACACCTATTTTTCAGACATACGTGGGTGTATACATCTACAGATGTGAATCAAAACCGTGGCGAAACATTCCCGTATCCAAACTGAGATATATTTTAGTCACAAATCTATGAGATACTTGATTAAAATCATTGAAACACACTGATCTTCAACTGTAAATTTTACAGTGACGTAATGTTGTACGCATCACTATATCTCCTTAATGATTTCATTTCTGTATTAAAAAAATACAACTTATCATGAGACTAATTATTAGTACTTAAGCATTAACAATGATTAGTTAATATGATGAATGCATATCCTTAGAAAGTGGGTGATTATTCACTACTATCTTATGAAACGTGTAGGCGGTTACTCTTAAGTATTTCATACTCATTTTTCTTACACACAGGTTCACCAGTACGTATAAAAAGTACGAATAGAACTGTTCGAGTTAATGGTTTAAAGTTTTCTGAACGACTTGAAGTTCAGTTGCACCATGCTTCTTGATACTCTATGGAACTGATACCATTTTTTTTGTTTCTTCGAAAGCCCCAAATATCTGTTATTTATCTAAGCTAATTTTTTGTATTTCCCCTTTGGTTAGTTATGCTGGACTCTGTTGGCATGTCAACGCGTAGTATGAATGTTTTAACAGTAACTGAGAATTAGCGTGATTATTATTTAGAGGATGATGACTGGCAGTGGAATCTATGGTGAGCATTTCGCCTCATTTGCGACTCGTTGGCTGGCTGTGCCCGCATTCACTACTAATCTGTACAAATCATCTTACTTAATTGTCATTTAATAGTATTAATCAGAATGGTTGAAATCTCAATACCGATAATGGCAACTTCGACTAAAACAGCGAGAAGATTCATGGTTGTATGATACTCAAAACATTCAAAAGTTACATAGATATAGACAAAGTATGCGTAGTACTAGTGCCAGTGACTGATTCAGATGTGATGTTCAAAATCTATATCCAAATTTATCCGTTGATCTACTCTTCTCTCTCTCTCTCTCTCTCTATATATATATATATATATATATATATATATATATATATACAAAAAAGAAAAGCAACAAGTTGGAAGAAGAAGCATCCAGAGAGGATAGGACTTCAGGTGAACATAGAGAAAACAGAGGTGATGAAGATTTCTGGACAAGAACAACAACAACAGACAACGATCAGCATAAATGGGAAGAACCTGAAAGAAACAACCTCTTTTACCTACCTGGGAAGCATCGTTTCAACTACAGGCGGACGGAACTGACGAGGATATCAAAGCAAGAATCGGAAAAGCAAGACAAGCTTTCACTACTCTCAAGTCTGTGTGGAGGTCAACAACACTCAGTATCAAAAATAACATCCGGATTTTCAACTCCAATGTGAAGTCAGTCAGTGCTACTCACAATACGGATCAGAGACTTGGCCAGCGCGTCATAAAGAGCATCTCAAACAAACTACAGACCTTCATCAACAGTTGTCTTCGCTCAATACTCAAGATCAGATGGCCGGTCAGAAAACATCAGCAACAGAGATCTCTGGCAATGAGCGAACCAACACAGCAGGAACCGATTGTGAAACAAATAGGCAGGATGAAATGGAGATGGATTGGCTGGCCATACTCTGAGGAAACCATCAAGTGACATCACTAGACAAACCATTGCTCGAGTGGAACCCGAAAGGGAAGCGGCGAGTTGGTCGTCAGTGCGAGGGTGACTTGGAGGAGGTGATGTGAAGAGGAGATGAAAGCATGTGGACAGACGTGGAGCCAGGTGAAAACTTTAGCAGAGAACTGAATGCAATGGAGACGCACGGCTGAAGCCCTATGTTCCTCTAGGAATTAAAGGAAACAATTGCATATATATATATAAAAGAATTCTTTATCAACAATTAAGACTGACTGACTCGCCGCAGTTAGACAACTAATTCGCATTACTAAACAATCTTCTGACTGAGTGAATTCGCTAAATGTGAATTTTAGTTAGATCACGAACTGACATTGGTTAAAGAACCATTGAGAACCAGAGAGTAGCAGATAGCTGGCTCATCGTAGTTTAGCACTTTTCAACCATACGCATGCACGGCCTACCCGACTGGGAGATCGAACTTAGGCCCTCCAGGCGACAAGACCACCTCGATCAGCCACTGAGACGGAACCTGATGGCCCATCAATACCTCATTTCTGTCAAACTGTGACATGTATAGCGCCATGGGCAGGTTATGTTATCAGCCGGTGTTTCTCACGCCCGACTTGCAGCCAACCATACCAGTAGTGACTTGTCGCCAACCCTCCAGGTTATCAGTCCTTTAGTCAATCTTCAGTGAACAGTAGATTAGACTCCACACGTTGGTTTCCTAGGATTTGATTGATTTCAGGCTAAATCACGAACTGACACAGGTTCTGCAACTGATCCCATTTTGCCATTTAACTTACAATTAATCAAAACTGTGGAAATTAATTTCCATAATTAAAATTCATGATATCAATTTGAATAAAAAATGTGTATTGCATGCATCACACTGATAAATTGATTCTAATGCAAGCATAAGCAACACTTTTAATCCTTATGATTATTAATTGTCATTACTTCAAATTGGTTGAAAAGTCATTTCATCTTTTCTCTTTTCTTTTTTTTATTAATTTGCAGTCTTTCAGCGGTAAATACCTCGAATCATTGATTTCTGTCTACTTGTATATAAGGCGGTCATCTGACTTGTGAAACTACAAGATGTCGGCTAAACAGTTCAGTCACGCATACACCACCTGTAAGTGCTTTTGACCAATCTACTTAGGTTTACATCAGCATTCGAATGGTAATAATGAATAGTGAAGGAAAAGACCATGGATGGAACAAAATCTCCACCTTTATCCATTATCTCTTAAAATTGCTTAAAAGGAGAATAATTAATAACCTTGTAATGAAATATCCAAGCTTACCACTTGTTCTTCAGCCTTTTTGAGGATATTGTCGCTTGGATCAGTGCACTTCTTTTTTGGCAGTCTACAACAACCACAAGTTAAACCGAGATTAATTGAAGTGATTTTACAGAACCAAATAGTTATGCATAATACTGACTGCCTAAATGTGTAACTATCATTAACTAAAATTGAAATGTAGAATACAGAAGAACGCGATATCAGCTTATTGACAACAGAGTAATATTTGTGATCATTAAAGTCATTAAAGTTGGAGGTTCGATTGTGGAATAATCACCAGCCGAGCTGGAGGCCTGGATCCGACGCCTTGTTGACACGCCCCTAAACCTCGCTTAGTTTATTGGCCGTTAGTAATACCAGAAATAGTGCGTCGGTGGCACAGCGGTAGAATGCTCGCCGATCATGCATGTGGTCCGGGGTTCGATCCCCGGGCTACGCACTCCCAAACCTGGCTAAGCCAGTAATAAGACTGATGAAGAGGGGAGGTTAGGCATGAGACTAGCAACCCCATCCAAGCCTCTAGCTTGAAGCCCTATGTTCCACTGGGAACGTGAAGGAATGCAAAAAATACCGGAAATAAGAGAAAGTTGGAAGTGAGTCTAGTAAAACGAACACCAACGGCATTTAAATTGTATAGCTTAAAGACATATTTTCCATCCGGAACACGGGGAACTACACAAAAATAGATATCAGAGTGGATTCAGTGGATTTTCAATCAGTTAATACAGTTATTTAACATGAGTCATTGTAAATACGATCACCGGTGTAGCTTTTTAGTCTTAAATGCTGAATACATAGTCATTAGTCGTTCTCACCTGGAGTGGTCGTTAAGCTAAACGACTCTATCAGTAATATCAAGAGTTTGAGTGAGATAGGCAGGAATCTCTGTCTGACACGGGTTTCAGACATTGTTAACTCCTTGTTTGGACAGTTGGAGTACGAAGACTCAGTGATTGGAGAATTTCAGTTAAATATCTTGAAATTAGTTTAAATGGTGCCGACGTATACCCTCCTTACCATTCAGAGGACTTTAAATATCATCAATCTCCATTAAGCCAGTGTCTATTGAGGTTGTTAAAAGTGTATGGGAGGCTCGTGTGTATTTTTTCGAATATGACAGGATAACCAAGTAGTTTATCTGCCCCAAAGCATTTCAAGTAGACCTTAGCCAAAGAGACATTTCAGTCGATTCGCCTGCTGAACAATGCCTGCTGGTTAGCTTTCCTAATTTCTTCTAAATTGTTTTATTTCATGAAACTATATCTTTATTTTTTAGAATAAAAAGTGTTTGCTTTCACTGCTGACTCAGTATGTAGTAATAATAATAATAATGGATTTTGCTTAGCAAACCAATTAAATATTGTCACTGTCAATATTTTCACTGAAGACACACTCATTTCTGGACTGTGGTGAACATGATAACCCAGTAAACATGTAGTGTGCTTGTAATTGTTTTTTAAGGTTTAGTAAAACACAATGTTTAGGTAAACATACACATCGTCTTTAAATGTTTATAACAGAAAATCGACTCATGCCGTAGTCTTATCACCTTGAAAATCAGCTCAAAATTTGTGTCAACTGATAGCGATATATATATATATATATAGTATATCACTGTTGTGTACAAAACTAGACGTTTAGAATTACGTTCTTTATTCTTGTTCAAAATGACAGTCAAGAAAATTTAAAAAAAAAAACTGAGTCAATATAATTTGAAATATCAATGTGAAAATGTACTGTGAAATTATATTATATTAAAAATTTATTGCTTCAGGTTACTGTCTTGATTTTCCACTGTGTTTTTGTTTTCCACTGATCAATGAGAGCTGATAAGGTATCTCTCACCGTTGCTAATGTAGGCTGTAGACTCCAGTGATCAGCGGCTGACTGGGCGAATCTCTTGCATGCAATAATACATATGAACTGTTTGTGAACTGATAGATAAAGAAATACAACTTTTCCATTTCCAGGTTATTGAAACCTTGTAGTAGATAACTAGGAAATGATTCACTATGAATTTGGCGCCTGAGCTCACCTCCCAGTATATACATTGAAATGTTGTCGGCTCCTTTGCATAAGGACACACTCACTCCTTGAAAAGAATTAATGTCATGAAATATTACCTAACTGTTTATAGCATACAGACAATAATTCTTGCCTGATGGATAATCTAAAGAACAAAACTAACACCTTACGTGTTGTATTTAACAGCTACGTCAATATATGAGAGTCATTTGACATAGTTATAACATTTAGGAGGCTCATGGCTTTCCATTGGTACTTATAAAATAATACTCAGGCTCTACAAACAAACAGATATCGAAACTATTAAACATGGGATGGCTAATGTAAGTTTTAGCTGCGATTTTCACATATTTGCTGGTTTTGGGAAAGATGACTATGAAATTTGTTTTTGAAATTGTTATTTAGAATTTCCTTTTGACTGATTGACTTGGACTGAAATCCATGATCTCTGATTACATACTGGATCCCAGCACAGATTCCTTGATGACGCTTTAAGGTTAACTTGGTGTTATATAGATTCTTTTTATTCCTTTACGTTCCCAGTGAAACATAGGGCTTCTAGCTAGAGCTCTGTAGTTTTGGTAGTAGTGGTGTTGCTATCCTCATGCCCAACCTTCCCTCTTTACCAGTCTTTTAACTGGATTAGCGAGGTGAAGGAGTGCATCACCCGGGGATCGAACCTCGGACCACCTGCATGGCTGGCGTGCGGTGTTATATAACTAATGAAAGCTATTGGCATATTTCGTCCTACATTGGACTAGTCAGCTAGGTATAACTTCACTCTACTCAGTGATAGCACCAAGACTTGAACCTAACGACCATCATTTCAGATCCCAAAGCATTAGTCAGAAAGGGCCAGGGTGGGGGTAAATAGAATGGAAAGTGCATCTTGGATTCCACCGTTAACCACCCTCAGTCAAATAAGACAATGCAGTTTGATGAATTTCGGTAGAATCATAGGGCGAAACAATTGTCACGGCGGGTGAATGTCCTCATTAGCATAGTTTACAGATACTGGTGTTTTATCATCCTGCTGAAATGTTAACAGATTCAACTAGTTTGAATTGACACAGTGAACACATTGCAAACAAAGTAAACTTGTAAAACTCACGGGGTGTTAATGGAGTTGGGATTCGTATTCATTGTATTGGCTTTATGCTCAAATGTTTCAGGCTGAATGAAACAGAAGGTAGCAGATTAAAAGAAATGTTAAGCGACAGGTATGAGTGAATCATACTGAATGCTACAGATTATTTGTTATGATTTCTTTGTCCAAAGACCAGACCTTCAGTGAGCATAATTAACCGATATCAGCTCATGATGAAATCCTGTAACCAATCAGTCAAATCCCTACAAACCAATACTTGAATATCAATGAGATGCTCACTAGCGACTGGCCCTATTCAGGTAGGTAGTTACCTGGGTTCCAGTGGGAAGTCGTGACCAGGAGGGTGCAGCAGGTTGGGTGTGAGGAGAAATGCTCACCGAAGGCATTGGCTAGCAGTTGTGCTATGTCGTGAATTGGCCATTGAATTAGTGGGTCCAAGTGGCTTAATGGCCTACGAGCTAGCTCGCCTTCTAATCAGAAAGTGCTGGGTTCGAACCGTAGTGGTATGTACGTACTGATTAAGAGTCCCAAACTAGGACGAAACAGCTATCCAGTACTCCCTGTAGGTTTTCCAATGGTTTTCTAACTGATGTTAGCTCATGATGAAATCCTGTAACCAATCAATCACATCCCTACAAACCAGTACCTGAAAATCAGGTCAGCTGTCTAAATGTCAGGCTTCAGTATCTTGAATAGCGCTGGAAGAGCATGCTGAATTTCAAAGTAAAAATGACGAACTTCTATCTAAAGGCTGCTTCTTCCTTTGTTCAGTTCTTTTGTGTTGCTTTTTATCATATTCTTATATAATCTGGTAATGATCATAGTCCATTTCCAGAACTTGTTAGTATGGTGTATCTACTCTCCCTCTGCAGCTAAAGCTCATACTACACTGAGTTATTTGCTGGATTTATGAGAGATTGTACTCAGACATATCAAATGTCACCGAGTGCAATAAAACCAAGCTGAACGACCTTACATTTTTAAGTGTTGCTGTGTTCTCTAAACTTAGTGGGTTAACTGGAAAGATGTCGTTGTTTTTCTGGAAAACATCTTCAGCGTTAACTTCAATGTGAAGCCTATTTTTCGAGAGCTTCACGAATAATATAGCTGTCTCTCCCGCAGCCATTGGTAATGACTGAACTTCCAGACTTCAAACTAACATGGTTTAGTGTCTTAGAAAACTTATCAACAGAGGTTGTGGACATTTGTATTGACTTGGCAATTACTTACTAAGTTTCCTTATATTTTAGGTTATTTTTCCCATTTTTATTATATTTTCTTCTCATATCAGTCTACAATTCATTTTTTACGTCACACTGACTTATTGCTAACATAAAAGGATCAATAGTGGAATAAAAAAGCCGAGGAGGTTCTTGAAGTCTGAGCAGAAATCATTCAGTTATGCATATGATCAACACAGCACAACTTTTATCGATTATTAATTATTAAACTTAGTGGGATGGTTACAAAGCCAATAGCATTTTTACTACATAATGGATACGAAATTCTTTGCTGATAAAATCACACAGTGTTATGCAGTAATATTTACTGATGACGTTACCACTCATAATCATATCAAGTCACTCACACAACTTTCTTGCTTCATTTATATACATGAGTGGAATCGATTAGATATTTGAATAAAAATCAATATAGGATAATGTGCATTCAGAAATAATAATATGAGTGTTATTGATCAATTACAATCACATGGGAAATAAGACGAGTGTTTTTACAGTAAAAATAAGTAACTTGTTAGAATGTTGTGATGTACTTGAATTGAAATAGAATTTTAAGATTATTTTTATCCTCCTCTGATTTGACTGGTGGTTGTAATATCTTCCATATTTCTGGTATTTGCATTGAGTCATTTCTGTTGCATGTGTTGGGAGTAGACTCAATGAACCAGGCAGGATTCAGTAATCAACCTCTCTCTACCTCCACCTACCTATATTACTTTTTAGAATTTGTACTCTGTCCCACTCTATTGTGTGGTTGTGTGTTAATGCATGCAGTGCAATTGCTGAGTTTTCCTCTAAATTATTTATCTTTGTGGGATCAATCATTCTAACCTTAGCTAAATTCTTATGTTCTGATAATCTGACTACTCGTAATCTACTAGTTCGACCTATGCAGTTGACCTAACTCACAGTCATTGCAAGGTATTGTGTAAATTATATTATTTTGTTTAGTTGGATCCACCGGGTCTTTTAGCCTACAGAACTTGTTTCTGAGTGAGTTTGTAGGTTTGAATGCCACTCTAATTCCCGCTTATTTGAGAATTGTACACAGAGTCTCAGATGTCCCCTCCTTATATGGTAAAACTGTAGATGCCTTTTATTCTTTACTCTATCACAGTGCCCAGGTTTTACCCTTTTAGCATTTTTAAAAAATAGCTTGAGTGTTTTCAGTGAGAGCACCACTACTCACGTAGGTACGGGTACATCCAGTTAGCGAGTTCTGTGTTAAGTGGAACTCTGGATCGTGAATTTTAACTGCAAACCACCATCAACATCATGTTGAATGCTTCATAGAAGGGAAACTTTTCTGTTGTCACATGTTCACTTATAAATGCCAATTGTTTGCACACCTTAACACACTGTTGCATTCTATGAATGTTAAATTTATGGCGAAAGAAATCTATTCAAATACAAATACTGCCTACAACTTACAGAAAGACTGAAATTCTCGCCTCTATTTTTATGGGATTTCACGCCAAGCATCATTTCTACACGATTTAGTTCTTTTTCAAATCTTGGCAATTCTTTCATCCTGTTCGAAGTTTTATTTGCCAAAAATGTCAGTACAGACTTTTGTTCTACTGTCTGATGAAGCAGTTCACGACTCAACTCTTCGTTACGCATAGACTGAGAAAACAAAAGAGGCAAGAGGCGAAAAACACTAAACGTATAAAAACCCAGAAAGTGGGAAAAATAACAATAAAAGAGCAGCTAAGCATATGGGTATGCAGAAAGACCACTCATGTTTAGTTACAGGATTTCATCATGAGCCGAAATCAGTTAGAGAATCATTGGAAAACCTGTAGGGAGTACGGGACAGCTGTTTCGTTCTAGTTTGGGACTCTTCATCAGTACGCACACACCTTAAGGGTTGGAACTCAGCACTTTCTGGTTAGAAGGCGAGCTAGTTCGTAGACCATTAAGCCACTTGGACACGCCAATCCAATGGCCCATGATGAAATCAAATCCCTACAAACTACTGAATGATCAGTAGTGTGTGACGACTGGTTATAACAAACATATAAAATTGATCGGCTGTTAATACTAAGCTAGTGTGACTTTTTGAAACCAATGAATTCTCTCATCTTTTGTTTGGCTTTTAATGTTCTATCTCCGTTGGTACACGGACTTCCTGGAAATCATACCCCAATGTTAACTTTTATTCTAATTTAATGTAATCTATCAGGTGTTGGCTGTTAGATGATAGATAGCTGACAGATGAGAACACTATCACATTCTAGGATGAGTTCTGGGAAGGATGAAAGCCGTTCTGGCTGTTGGTGAAGAATGCTAATAAAAACTTGAATTAAGATTCTCATTAATACTTAAAAAAATTGGGGTTGGTCCGTTGCAATCCATTTCTCTAATTTGAAATGGGGCATAAGAACACAGCCTGATAGCATATAACATCCTACGATTTATAATCTCACGAAGAAGCAACCAGTCTCAGGTTTCAGGTTCATTCATGCCATAGAGTATCCATTAGAGACATATCCTTCAATAGGTTTTGTAACACAGATGGACACAACTCATTGTCACTACGTTTAACCTCACTTTTTCGTGAATATTTTGAAAGATGTGATTCTTTCTGTGTAGATCAGAGTGAGAATACGACATAGTTCATTTTCTGGAACAACGCAGACAGCTGTAGACTGCTAAGTCAATAATGTTTTTCGGATATTAATAATCAGTAGTGTGTTGAATCAATATTCATTCACCATAATATGAATGTATTTACCTATTCTCATTCTGTAAACACCAAAAGCTTCAATAATATCCTTTTCCGTACTTTACTGCTGTACACCACTGATTGATTGACATGCTCCTAAGAATTGTTGACCAGATGGAAGTGATCTACACACTGAAAGGTCGTCTCGCTTGTGTGACGCCAACATCCTCAGCGATGTAACCAGTTTGACTTAGCATAGAAAGCCGAATCAGTTCAAACCATCGCGTAATTTTCCATGTCGCATGATTTACATGCATAAAAAAAGATAACATGTCATTCAGTCAAGAGATTTATCCCTTGTCACGTCACGTCATGTTTTCTACACGATCGATCGTGATTCCTCGATTGAAAGATGAAGTACCTAGACTAGCCACTTCCAACTGTATCTACCAATTCAACTGCGCCTGTGGAGCAGGAACTTGATTTTTCGTGCTCGAGAACACACACCGGCCACAAAGCCAGTCAGCATTCAAGAATCCTTCTCTATCATCTACCGGATACCAAACAAGTTGTCAAAAACATCGAGGTACCACATGCTCCAAACAGCAGAGGCTATCACAATTCGTGTGGAACAAGCAGTGCTTCGTGTGCAGAAGAAGTAAGTTCAGCCACTACTACTGCCCTAGATGGCCTTCAGTAGAGACTATAAATTCATGAATTTGTATTATTATCTTTCTAACTTTTCTGATATTTAGTGTGTATTGTTATGTTGATGCTATTGAACTATAATCTATTGATATTATTATTGATTCGATGTTATTGAAACAACAATAATGTTGTTTATAACACCAATTCATTCACAATGATGTATGTATATAGAACTGTAGAACCTGATGAAGAAGAGGTTATCGAAAAGAATATTCTTTGTTCATCAACCATTCTTTTGAAAGATTTATCTCTGTACAACAGCAACTGTGTGCATTTTGTCACACTAATGTCTCGGTCAAACGAAAACATGGCACCAGTCAATGAAATCTACAACAGTTGGTCTAAGCCACGTAGGAAGGTGTAAACTTCCTGACTGGTTGGGGTCCTCAGGATGGTAAAAACCAATGGTTGGAAACAATTGGTGACATGGCTCAAAATCGTTCTCAATGACAGCGCAGATGCATCCACTCCTTGTGACTTATGATTTCCAATGAAACTGTTTTGTTCTTCGCTATTACTATTCCTTTGTCTCACACCTCTGTTTACTGTCCATATTATGCATTTCTCCTACTTTCTTCTCTTGCTTTGTGTGCTACAAGGAGGGAGTGTGGCGACTTGAACTGGCGTACATATGTGCAAAGTTTTATGTCGAAAACCGACCGACCGACACTAATGTCTTTGGCAGTTTTTTTCATATTTAAAAAACATTTTTCTTAACAGAATATATACAAACCCATTAAGTTTAATGAATGTTATTCAAACCAAAGTAGAGGTGAGGTGAAAGTAAATTATTCTTTTTGCCTGTTTTGTTTTCCAAGCGGAACATGGGCTTCACGCTTCCGCTTTGAAGTGTCAGCTGCAGTGATTTTTCTTTTCAAGAGATGTGCCTTATGCCTTGCATTCCTTTTTTACCGGTCTTACCACTGGATGAGCGCCAGCGGGAATCTGAAGCCCGGACAACGTGCTTGCTTGGCTACTGAAAGTAAGTAGTTGCATAATACATAAAAATACTTAGGGGAATAATTATTATCAGATGGGAATATGTTTGGCACTCAAGCATCCTTTTTACTTGTTCGTTTGGATAACTGTCCTGTCACTTATACGAAATACGTGTGACAATAAACCAGATTTTTCTCAAGTGAACACTTGTAATGTTGGTAATAAATCAGTCAGAATATTTTATGTATTCAAAATGGCAAATCGATAAATCGATAACAGCAACAAAAAGGTGAACGAATTATTTTATGTAAAACGACTCGTAGAACCTGTTTGCTTAAACATCTTTGTTAAAGCTCTTGATTCATCATCAGTCGAGATGCAGTGTTTCTAAAAAAAGATCTCACAATCAGCTGACAAAAATTGGACAGTTGAATATACAGGCATGAAATCACCGCGTCATTTGTTTTATCTATGACACTGAACACATCTAATGAATGTCTGAAGGAGTATTGCAAGTGAAATCAACTTATTGTGGCATTTGATAGCAAGACATTTATCTTTTCAGTCATTTTCATGATGTTTTTCCACAGGGATGTGCTTCGATACTTTGGAGTCGAAAATGCTTGACTGATGGAATTCAGTGACTGATCACTGTGACCATGATAGTACTACAGGAGGTCAGTCACGGGCCCGAATATCTCAGTGGGACGTCACTTCCTCAAAGGCTGTGGATGCTCCTTGCTGACCAGTGCCAGTACACGTGAAACCCTGTTTCACGAGTTACTGCCTATTGCCTGTAATCTCTGAACAACGTTTCATTATCAAACTGAGTAAAGTATTTCATGAAGTTGTCTGTTGACTTTACAGACGTGCTGAAATCATCCACATCTTCACTACTAACAGATGGATGAGTTTTGCCGATAATGAAATGAGCACTCGGAACGAGTTATTACATGCAATACATCGTTAATAAGAAATTTGCCTTTTCAATAGCCTCACTTTCAAGTTTCACAGTCATACCCATACACAGTGTGTATCAGTCTATAGAAACTGAGGAGGAAGTTGGTGAAAAAAAGTGTTATCCTTCTTCTTAATTAACTGAGCCTTGAACTACTAAGGACTTCTTCAAATAATGCGTAGACAAAGATAACAGGGAATATTTTTATAATGAAAATTACTCCCATTTTCGCATTCTTAAGAAAATTGCACAACGTCAAGAAAGAAAATTTTTTTAAAAATCTCGAGGTTGTTGCCCATGTCTCTCTGTCTGTTTTCGACATAAAACTTTGCACATATGTACGCCAGTTCAAGTCGCCACACTCCCTCCTTGTAGCACACAAAGCAAGAGAAGAAAGTAGGAGAAATGCATAATAGAGACAGTAATCAGAGGTGTGAGACAAAGGAATAGTAATGACGAAGAACAAAACAGTTTAATTGGAAATCATAAGTCACAAGGAGTGGATACATCTGCACCAGCCATTGAGAACGATTTTGAGCCATGTCACTAGTTGTTTCCAACCATTGGTTTTTACCGTCCCGAGGACACCAACCAGGAAGTCTACATCTTCCTACGTGTCTTAGACTAACTGTTGTGGATTTCATTGACTGGTGCCATGTTTTCGTTTGACCGCCGCTAGCTCTTTTCCAACCTGGCCCTATATCAGCTAACATTGCCCGTCGAGGAAGGCGATGACTAGGCATACATAACACATGTCCTAACCATCTCAGTCGATGTAATTTCACAGCCTCGTCGACTGATTTCCCCTCCTTACCTAGCACTCGAACGAAGCCTAACCTCAATATTGCTCATCTTATTATACGACTTCACATGGGAGATACAACGCAGGCACCTATGATCAAAGACAGGTAATCTTTTCATGTCTTCCGCCCTCAATGGCCAGGTCTCACAGCCATCAAGGAGGACGGAGAGGACTGTTGAGCAGTACACACACCCTTTGATCGATAGTCAGATTTCACGTCTGCGCCAGAGACGGCGTAAACTGGCATATGCAAAACTAGCCCTCTGTATTCGTGTTGAGATTTCGTCTGAGATCAACCCGTTGGCACTGGCTGATGGTACTTCCCAAGTAAGTGAAGCGGTTGACGTGCTCTACCACTTCACTTCCTATTTCTAATCTAGGAGTCGGTGTAGTCCAATCCTGTAACATCATCTTGCATTTGGCGGGAGCGAATCGGATGCCAAACATTCGTAGATTGCAGCTCAAGGTGTTCAGCTGCAATCTACGAATGTTATTGCACATAGTTAGGAGAATTCATTTTTACATGGTCAGCTAAGATATCCATCCTTGGT